TCTCTCTCTCTCTATCTCTCACTCTCGCTCTCTTTCTCTTTCCCTCTCTCCCTGTCTCTCTCTCTCTCTCTCGCTATCTCCGTCTTTGTCGCTCTCTTTGTCTCTTCGTCTTTCTCTCTGTCTCTCTGTCTCTGTTTGTCCATGTGTCTCGATCTCTCTATTTCTCTCTCTCTCTCTCTTTCTCTCTCGCTCTCTCAATCTCTCTTTCTCACGCTCACTCTCACCCCCACTCTGGTTCTCTCTCTATCTCTCTATCTCTGTGTCTCTGTCTCTCTCGCTCGGTCTCTTTCTCTCTCTCTCTGTCTCTCTTTCTTGATATATATATATACATATATGTATATATGTATCTCTCTCTCGCTCTCTCCTCTCTCTCTCTCTCTCTCTCTCTCTCTCTCTTTTCAATTATTTTTGCCTCTCGCTATCTCTCTCTCACTCTCTCTCTGTCTCGGTGTTTCGCTCTCTTTCTCTCTCTCTCTCTCTCTCTCTCGCTCTGTGTCTCTCGCTCTTTCTTTCTCTCTCTGTCTTCCTCTCTCTCTCTCTCTCTCTCTTTCTCTTTCTCTTTCTCTTTCTCGTTTTCCTTTCGTTCGCTGGCCGCAGTAGAAGATCGACCGCCTAGACGGCTTGATCTTGATCGGACGCGGCCTGGCGAAATGGCGAGCTGCCTTTATGAATCAATACCACTCCCGAAATGTGTGTTTGTGGTGTTCCTGTAGGTTGGACTTGCTTCGAGAGGTTGGCCACTTTTACGCTGGTGCCCAGTGCCGCGGCTTTCTTCCGTGTGACGGACACGTTTTAGTGACTATTTTAGCGGTCGCGTTCTCGGTCTTATGACTTCTGCTGCACTTCTTTGGAACATGTGAAGCACGGCGTGGCCTTGTTATTTCAGGTCAATGGCATGCTTATGATCAGCAAGGACCTCGGCGACCTGGACATCTGCGTCCCTGAGGGCAGCACGAAGATGCAGGAGCTGCCGCTTGCTTCGGTGGCTCAGTGTGTTGGTTGCTGATGTGTCATTGCCAGGTGCCGATGAACACCCTGAAGCAGGTCCCGAAGCTCGGACTCGACCTTTGCCAGCGCACGGATCAGACCCTCCATGCACCAGGCTTCACAGTTGTTAGACTGTTGGGTTCTTCGCAGAGGCGGTTGAGGATGTTTGAGGCCGTCGGGTGTACTTACTTATTTGCAATGGGTTGCGTTGGAGTGTGTCCGGGGTTTGTTGGACAGTACATCTTCAACATCAGGCTTGACAGCATCATTGCTGTCGACGCTTCGACTGCGTCTTTGTTGCGGCGTTCCGCCAGAAGCCCGTGCGTGCCTGAGTATGTTTTCATGCTGAGTTTGGTCGGCGTGATTGCAATGTCTGTGTATAGGCCCGGCCGTGGCTGCTCAGCTGGACGCCGTTCTCGCAGGCTGTCGGAGTGCACTCAAGCGTCCTTGAACCGGGCACTGCGCGCATATCAGGAGCTTTTGATGTGTTGCTGCAGCTATGTTTCTATGATCTTGTAGTTCAGTATTTTGTGAGTTGGCAGCTAGGATGTAAGATTTATAAGTTCTATAAAATTACTGAAGCGTTGTGTTCTAATCGCGTGGTCTTGCCAGGACGATGGAACCGCGGGAAGTCTGCCGCGCGTTCCGGTGTAGAACATGGACTTCAAAATCGTTTTCGAAGTTTCTTGCTAAAGTTGATCAGGTGTTGGGCTGTAGAGGTGTCACATGCCCTTTTGTTTTGGTTTCTTCTCTTTTCTCTTTTTGCCTCCTGTTTTCGTTTCTCTTTCTCATTTTCTCTTCGGCTTAGGGTTCAGGGTTTTTTAGGGTTTAGGGCTTATAAGGGTTAAGGTTTCGGGTTTGTTCAAGGCTTAGGGTTTTAGAGTTTAGGGCTTTGGTTTTTTAGGGCTTGGTTTGGGTTTAGGGGGCTTCGGCTTAAGGTCCAGAGGGTGTAGGGCTTAGGGTTTACGGGTTAGGGTTTAGGGTGTAGGGTTTAGGGTTTAGGGTTTATAAGGTTTGCTGAGGGTAGGGTTTTCGGATTTAGGGCTTAGGGTTTTTCAGGGTTTAGGGTTTAGGGTTTAGGAGGTCTTTTACGGTTTCGGATTCAGGGCTTAGGGTTGCAGCTTAGGGTTTCGGCTTAGGGTTTAGGGCTTTTCCTCAGGGCTTAGGGTTTAGGGCTTGGGTTTTTTTGGGGGTTTAGGGCTCAGGGGTTTGGCTCGCTGTGAGTTGTGTATGGGTGGTCTTGGGGTGGGCATGTCTTTACATTACAGCGCGCTAGTCAGCGCGCGATCTGTGGAGCACACCCTAGACCCTAAACCCTAAACCCTAAACTAAACCAAAAAACACTAACCCTAAAACCCTAAACCCTAAGCCGAAGCCCACTAAAAGCTAAGCCCTAAAGCCTAAGCACACTAAACCCGAAACCCGAAGCCTAAACCCTCAACCCTAAGCTGAAACCCTAAAGCTTAAACCCTGAACCCTAAGCTGAAACCCTAAACCGTAAGCCCTAAACCCTGTAAACCCCAAGCCGTAAAGGAATGGTCTCAGGTTAATGGGATGCCTGGACGCCCGTCCTTAACTTGAGACCAGTGTGGGTCACAGATGAGGGAATTTCTGGGGTCACAAGTGAGGGTTGGGCCTGTATGTATGTATGTATGGATGGATGGATGGATGGATGGATGTATGTATGTATGTATGTAAGTATGTAAGTATGTGTGTGTGTATATATATATATAAAAACATATGCGCATGTTTAATGCACATGTACTTGTGTATCGTCTCACTATGCATATGTATATGCATATGTATGTGTGCATGTGCATGCGTATGGTGAATGAATGGTGAATGAATGTATGTACTTATGCAAATACATATACATCTATAAGAACACATTGTCTGTCAAGCTCATGCAATGCCCACCAAGAAGTCTGAATGCTGAGCATACCAACCCCCAAACCCTAAACCCTAAACCTGAATCCCCAAACCCTGAACCCCAAACCCTAAACCCTAAACCCAAATCCCAAACCCTAAACCCCAAACCCTAAACCGTAAACTTCCTAAACCCTAACCCCGGGTTTCGGCGGTGGGAGGTCGGTTCCTCTGACGCCCCACAGTGGCCCGGGGGCAGAAGGCGATCCCCCAGGCACCCTTCTTGGGGCCGAGGCCAGACGATCCGCTGTTATTAGGGCTTTCTTATAGGCTTTAGGGTTTAGGGTTTAGGGTTTGCTTATGGGGTTTAGGGTTCGGGATACGAAGTGGGTTCTTTTTTTGTGTGCAGTTTTCGTTGTTGCTGTAGGTTCTTGGTTATGAGGGTTGCTAAGGGTTTTATACCCTGCATTAGGCCGGTGGGTTTGCGAAGTTTGGCCGCCGAGTTGATAGTGCGCGATTTG